TTTTTCGTTTACAACATGATTAGCAGTATATCTCAGGGTAGCAAACATGAAACTCTGTTAATCTGGCAGATGACTTTCGCTCGCTGAATCTTCAACTGGTGAAGTATTAAAACCAGTGAAAAAATGAAATGCAAAAAAAAAAGTGTGATATCTGAGCTTAAGAGGTAGCCTTTGAACCTCGCCAAATTCCTTATCAGATAATTTTTGGCGAGGGTTGTTTTAACCCTACCGATTGGTTGTTCATCTCCCATTACACCTTTAAAAGGCAATCAAAAGAGTCTTTATGGATAACGTTGAGCAGGTGATCTGGATTCCGTGACTGACTGAATCACTATCCACGAAAGCGACTAAATATGTCCAATTTTTGAGACACTCACCTTTTTAGCATCGCACAGAATCTGAAAATAGCCTCAGGTGTTGGATAAGGCCGCATAACAAGGTGATAAGAGAGGAAAAGAACTAGCGTTCGCCTTCATTTAATTAGGATTTTCAATGTCAATTTAGGAGAGAAAAATCCAAATGAGATTTCCATCGCAGACTGACAAAATAATCGAGGGCACATTTTTGCAATCTTCCGATTTTTGGTTAGCCTGAAGGCTTTATGTTTCTGTTCTTTTACGTAGGGATTCGGATTTCACGAGTTTAGTTTTCTGTGCGCTTTTCTGTTGCTTCTTTGCTGCTTTGAAGAAGGTAGTATGTTCGAGTGAGCGAATGGTACATTTTCGTTTCATCTATTGCAATAAATTGCTCATTCCATGTAAAACCACGTGGATGTTTTCAATGAATGGCATGTTGATCCTGATATTTGTACACTTGACTGCCGCTATTCTCAAAGAACTTTTTCAAGTTCCTCTCGTACTTCAATTAACCTGTAAGTAATACTAACTTCGTTGTCAATGCAAACTCAGGTTGGACCGGTTTGCAAGAGTTTAAGCTCACATAAGTGCATTTTTCAGTTGGTCTAACTGTACTCTCGATAGGAAATAGTCAAAAAGAGGTTATGGAAAACCTTTCCAGTTATGGGCATGTGGTTATGAACATAAACTATGGAATCTAAAGAACCGATATGCTAGAGACAAAAAAGCTTCATCCGCCATCTTGGAAAAAAAGTGGACTGCGCCTGCGCATCTTATCAGCCTTGCTTGGCCGTTCCCGTGTAACATCACACTTGCAATTGTGACTTGATTTGCCATTGCGACTTAGTGTAATTAAATTTCTGGATTATTACTAGCCCTCGGTAATTCCTCGATTACAAGGCGTTCTATTAAAACTAACTTTATTCGCGGACAACCGGATCTCTGTAGCAAGTATTCTGTTTTGTTTTTTCCTTCCCCACATACTAGCCCTCGGTAATTCCTCGATTACAAGGCGTCTATTAAAACTAACTTTATTCGCGGACAACCGGATCTCTGTAGCAAGTATTCTGTTTTGTTTTTTCCTTCCCCACATAACTACTTTTTCGGTCTCTGTCAAAAGCACTCACTGTACCCCCTGCAATGGTCTTGATGAAACGAATTTCGAAGAGTTATATATCTTTTGTAATTTTTCCAGATTAAGGTGAAATTTGTAAGCTTTATAGCTTTTATTCGTGGTAATGGCTCCCTTGGTTTTGTGTCAATATCAAGATTTTTTTCAAGTAAGGTTATCAACCTTTTCATATCAAATGCGATTAAGCACTCTCCTACTTCCTTTGAGTATGCAAGTTTGGAAATCACGGCATGAGATTAATTTGAGTCATGATGTCAACTCAGTGGCAGTCCTTTATCCGATTGCGCCTGCGCTCTGGCGTCTTGAACCTTTCTATCGCCTATATTTAGCTTGTGGATAAAAACTAATGCTCCCAATCTACCATATTGCTTCTTGACAGAATATAGGGCTACACGGGAAAGAATCAGGTCGAACCGTTAATTACTTGAGACTCCGTTGCGAACGACAGAGGTAAACATGCAAAAGGATATGGATAGATTTAAACTTGGGGTCATTGTCTAGAGCACTGCCTCGGGTAATTTAATGAAAAAAGAAAATAAAAACTTCGTCATGATCAAAAAGTAGCTTTTCTATCGCTCAACGTTATTCAAATTTTACGCTTGTTTTCCTTTTCCATGGCTAAAACGAACTTAACGCTGATCAAAGGAGTTCCTGAGCTCCATCAAGTTGCAAGAAAGGCGTGACTGATTCAAGTAACCTAAGGATTAATTATTTTGCTATTGAACGATAGGTAAGTTACACGTTTCCTGGTGTAATAAAGAAGATTGATTTAAAGACGCCATTCATGACAACTTACTTGACCTTCTTGACATTTCCATATTGTTTTTTTGTGTGTGTTTTTTCTCAGAATTACTTGATTTAAAAATACACCTCCTTTTAGAAGAATAATACACCGATATAAAAGCGATGGGCTGCATTATGTTTTCTTCAATGTGCAGTTTAACCAAACAAGTTGTTTTTCCGACACAGATAAAGTTAAAGGAGTAATACAAAAACAAAAAGGAAATATTTATCATGGTACCACTTTCCTCAAGGTATATGAGTCAGCCGCACGCATCGAATTTCATTGAATTTAAGTCTTGATTGTTTGCGTGCTCAATGTTACATTAGAGGGCATAAAAAGTCAAATCGTCTTTAAGAGGAGAAGTGTTCTATAATTCGTATTATTCAAAGTCAACAAAGTTTTAGCCCCAACCGAGCGTTAATTTCAAAAATTTTAAAACACCACAGTGCAGCGTCGACGCTATCACGATTTTCTGTTAAACAAAGAATTTTTAGACGTAAGACACGGTTGGCCAGAGGTCAATAGCAAACATTAAAGATTCCCGTTGCAAGCTCTAGGATCCTCGACTTCAAAAGAGTTCTCGTCTTATAAACTGAGGGTGTTCTAGCTCTTGTATATGGCTTCCTTCTTTTCAAACTAGACACGGACCGATCCATATTGGCAAATTGCTCCTCCAAGAATGACTATCTAAAATCATAGGTTACAGGTGGTTTTTAGGTTAAAACACTCTAGAGACGTCGGAGGGGTAGCTTTCTAACAAGATTTACCTACAAATTCCTTCACCTCAAAATGAAAAAACATTTTCCAGGTAACTTAAAGCATATGTCCCACGAACAACGACAACCTGAATTCTTCTCGGTTACGAAAACGATTATTTTCAGTTGAACTTTGTTTACTTAGCATCAAATAACAACACAACTATACCTTGGAAGCCTTTTGAGAGGTTCGTTCCACAAATCTTTCAAGCAAGCGGCGTGCAAGACAAGACTTATAGAGTGTCAGTGTTTTGACAAGGAAATGTCGGCGTTGCTACCGGTCGCCATCGTCAGAAATTCAGTAAACAGGTTTAGGACAGAATTTTCTCTAAAGCAAACAAAAAAGAATGCAAAAAGATCATGGTCTCGCTGTTTGATTTTAAAGCTAACAGAAAGTTTCTGCAAGAACCAACTGCGAAGAAGAAACTCTGCTTACCAGCGATTCCAAAATCCGCACTTCAAGAACGTTTAGTTCTTGCCAGTATGCCAACGTTTACTGACCAAAGGACACGAATTTCGAAAGCTGCAATTTGGAGGAAAATCTAAGACTTCTGGCCAAGTGATAAATAATCACGTGCCACAGCAATGGAAGTTGGCAGAAACTTGATCTGTGTTTACCCACGCTTGTGAGCCGGAATGGACATAATACTTTCGGGGCTGTTCGGAAAAAGCGATTTGCAACATGTCAGGAAAGCCTGTCTTTCTGATTTCAATTTTTTATCCGCACGTTTACCCCTTGAATAGTATCCTTATATTTCTTTGATAAAACCTAAATGTTGTATTTAAAACCTTTTTTCTATCAAAATAACTTTCAGATGGTTTTGCAATATGCAAAAATATACGCGAAAGGATTTCCAAAATGCCTAAACCAGATGGTGGATATTCGAGTTAAAGAGACTGGAATGAAAATCTGTTATTCATCCTTTTTAATTCCAAGTTAATCGTTTTTCCATCACTCCTGCAGACGCAGCGATCAATTAAGAAATTACCAAAATTGTGGTTTAACTGTTTGTTTTGAATAAAAATCTCGACTGAAATCTTCAAAATTCCCGCTGAGATTTGCTTACTATGGATTATCTTAAAGTGATCAACCGGAAGCACTAGTTCCTTGTACCAGACAACGGAAAACGTTGCCAAAATATTTTACAATGACCTGAGGGTAAATCGTTTAAAGACTTCCCTATTAAAACCATAAATCCTTTATTTTCGTTTGTGTTGTGTTGTATTGTTCTCGTTTTTAGTAACTAAAACACCGAGTGTTTAAACGCGGCAAGGGAGTGGTATCCCTATCAATGACTATAAATTTATGAAAAACCATATATGTGACCTGCGGTTCATGAAATGAAAGTGAAAGCGATCTTCGCAGTCACGAACACTACTTAAGCAGTAGTGAAAATAGGGCCCGAAATAAAATTTAAGACCTGTACAGCCCGTATCGTATAAAATTGCCCACTCCAAATAAATACCGTAATCAAAGGTTCCACTTTTTGAAAAACGATCTTCAATTCTTAGCAAGAAACGGTCAAGAAAATGTCTCAAACTCAGAAAATCAATCACTCAATAAATTAATTAGTAAAATGAACTCAATTAGACAATCAGCTCATTCATCCCTCCGTATGTCCGTCCGGCCGTTCGCACAACCATCCATCCATCCATTTATCCATCCACAACCCCCTCAATCATCACTATTACGATTTCGTCCGTCAACAATCAATAAAATGTGATAAATTTTGATTGTGTGACTATCAGTAACTCTCTTTGATTTAAATGAACCAGTTTATCCCAAGACTGATAATCATTTCGTCTTCTTCAGCTCATTACTTGTCCCAATCAGATTTCGATAAACTTGACTGGCCAGTGTTAGTGCACTCTAACACCAGCTGCGTCTGGCTAGTGTTACATATATTCAACAACTGAAGTGATGTTACCGCTTCACTATAGCGTTTGGTTTTCCTACTTTTTCACTTGAAGTATTTCTTTGCTGCCGCAGCCGCAAGTGTTCTACCACTGACACAACTCTAACACAATAATAACTGTCTGACTCTAATATTTTTTATGTGATAAAATTCATAAATATACGTATTTTGCATTAGTTTGATCTTAATCTGGAAGAAAATAATGTTTTTGTGTTATTTTTCGGGAAAAAAAAAGGAAAACTGCCCTTTTGCACAGTTAATCTAAAAATATTTTGTTACATGGTCAATTGTTTCATTCAGGTATGCCGGTAAGCTCACAGCTCGCTTTCCAAAGTCTCCTCTGAACATCTTCACTGTATGACTCATCTGAAGATTGTGTTGATTGACAGTTGACGAAATATTTACCTCCCTTGCTTTCTAATTCTGGAGATAACGCAACGTAAATACTGTTTTCTGCCCCTTGCTGAGGAGTCTGGAAGAAATGGTAACTACAGCTTGGTAAACCTGCAAGTTATTGTCTTAACTATTGTCTTGTACTATGTCTTAACCATGCTTGAGTCTGTGTGTCTTGAAACTGAGTAGGCAGCACAGACCTGCGATCAGATCGGCAATATTAAGATCTGGTGACCCTAAGTAGGCCTCTGAGGGAGAGATTTTTCAATATTCTAACGAAATCTTACCTTAAAAAGAAAATAAGCTAATACATTCTGAGGCATTCTCATGATCCATGGAATATGCTGGAACAAATCAGTATTGACTACTCCTGGATGCACTGCATTAGCTGTTACAGGGCTTTCTCTCTCTTCCAAGCGCTTTTGAAGTTCATAAGTGAATAGAATATTTGCTAACTTGCTTTGACTATACCCTGAATAGGGTGAGTAATAATATCTGTGGGGGAAAACAGAAAGTAAT